AGAGAGAGAGAGAGAGAGAGAGAGAGAGAGAGAGAGAGAGAGAGAGAGAGAATGAGCTGGTAGGCACTGTTATATACTGCTGTGTTTGTGATGGGAGCTTGGTCTGTAGTAATTGTAGAACAAGAACAATAACGCAGGACCGTCTTTAGCTGAAAAGCTGCCGTCTAGAGCAGAACTAGAGCAGTGTTAAGCAGAAGCTGCTATGGTAATCAAGTCTTTAGCAGTGCTTTAGTCCTCAAGTTTTTAGCTGTGATATATTCTTTAGTTGCAGCTTCTGCAGTGTGTGGCTACACTTGCAGTGCTCTGGACTAAATGCGCTAGTCGCAGTGCAGTCGCTGCACATAGTCAGACTGCAGCTATGCTTCCTGTATATGCACCGGCCTGAATAACAGGGTAGAAACATAACGCAGTTGCTGTATTTGCCAAACTGAATAAAAAACTAGGACTACAGCACTACTACTCGATACTGTCGATAGTGATTTCTCAACCCCAAAGCCAACACACCGTGCGCTGTACAGTGTACATACTATTCAATTTGGTGCTCATTTCAAGTGATACATAAAACTCTGTGACCAGCTGCTTGTGCAGCAGCTGATGCTCAGGCCAGGGCACATCGTGTCGGACCCCGGCCACTACATAGCATTCATCAACGGTCGTCTGCTGCCATATCTGACTAGCTGCTCCTGCAGAATCGGCCTGGGACAGCGCCAGACACATGAGGATTTGTTGTTTGGGTTATTCTTTGTTTAGTGTTAACGCAGATGCAATAACTGCCAGTCTATGGCAGTCTAGTGACGTGCTCGGCAGTCGTTTCTTGAAGTTCCGGCTCAGAGTCTACAGACAAGTCCTCACTGCATTTGCAATTACAGATTACAGTTGCCGGCGGTCTTATGTTTTGATCTCAGCATTGACCTTTAGTCAGAAGTCAGCTCTACTCCCCGTCGTTGACCTCTTTCGACTCTGCTACTTATCATCCACCTCCAGTCAACTCTACTCTCAGTTGTCACCTCTAGTCAATGTGTGTTATGGGACATTCGGACTGTGTAGGTTCTCACACTCGGTCACATTGGTTTTGCAGGTTCGAGTTCAGCCTCCACAGACTACCTTCTTCACCCGAATAGATGTCTGGTCATTACCATTAGTTCGAGACTGGAAGTTGCACCAAATACAGACGTATAATGACCGGTGTTCTATTCTGCTGAAGATGGTAGTAACCAAACTTCACGGCATCCTGGCAGTCGCAGTTCCGCCTCTCGGGCTAATCCTCTAGCCTATTAAAAGGTAGTAATCTTCACGGTATGGGGGTGTTGGTGGGGTTATTAGGGGTTCTGGTCAACCGACCGGTTGGCGGGTCAGCAGGCAACCAGTCAAGGGTTGCGGATGGTCGGGGTGTGCATCACTGCTGGCATGCAAAAAAATGAACAAAACTTGTGATAGTAACTGTCATGTAGTAACCGTCTTTTCATGGCGGTACTCTCGGAAGTCAGAAAGTCAGTGGCTGGTAGACATGGGGAATACCTCTGTACCTCCTTTTGGTAGTCGACGTTTCTTTCCATGGAAGACTGTCGGCGCCGGACAGATGGTGCACACGCCAACTTGATATGCACAGATTCTGCAGCCTTAAGAGTCCTTTCGCAATCACACACTCTGGCATGAGAAGCACAACTTCTAACACAGATGTATGTGCATGTATCGTTTGTTTGTATAGAGGAGTATAATGGAGGTATGTATGTGTGCATGTATGTATATATGGGGAGCAACAATTTCATGGCAGGCAGATGTGAAGGGGGATACTTTCTGATGGGTGTTATGTTTCAGGAGGGGTCACTTTTTTTTGTAATGGGGAACGATCGCAATTGGAGCTGGTTTCTGTCAATCAGATGATAAGAGCGCTTGACGCTTGAGCAGTAAAATGCATCATGAAAGAGACTGGGTGTTTGGAAGACCAGCCAAAAGTATTATGCCTTCTGAACCTCTCATTTCATGTCCACCTTTTCTCCATCATTGATAGTACTAGAAGAACGCTACGACTCAGTACTTGGAACTCTCCATTGGTACTAACTTTCTAGTACTTAACCACTTTCTCTGTGAGTCCTGACCTCACCCATTGGTTATCGATTGTGTATTGGCCTCACGGCCTTACACTGGGATCAGCTGACTTCCATTCGCTCGCTGTAATCCAGATGGTGAATAGAGGCAATGTATCAAGGGAGATGCTCACTGTGAGGAGAGCCATAATGATTAGTTATGACTTCTGAACTCGACAAATTTGCTGTGGCCCCCTTTCTCCGAGGATGTAATATTTATCTCGGGGGCGGGGGGGGAGGAGGTTGACTTCTTGACTGGAGGACAGATAAGATGATGGTATGCTTGCCATCATTGTTGAATGAAGAGTGGGTCCCACTGCCATGAGACTCACTAAAGAAGGAGAGAGGGGGGGGGTGCGGGGAAGAAACGAAGCTTTGGACGTGAAATGTTGTTGTACACATTCTTGGGAGGGGTAGTGTCAGTGAGGGCATCTCAGCCCCGTGGCGGGTTGTCAGATTCCAGAAACACAGAAGAAGGAAAAATTTTAAAAATAGGAAACACAGGCCACGAAATTGGCTGGATACATTCCTCTAAGATGTGAAATTGCAAGCTGTTTGAGCGCGTTTCTTTATTTTCCCAACACTGGCAAACATACTACCGTCTTCCCCGAACACAACACACCCTCATTTTGGCTGTATCTGGCCGGAAATATATCTTGTATACATTCATTTTTAGGGTGCGTTATGTTCGGGGGGAACACGGTAGTGGTTTAAGGACTTCTATTTAGTATTCACCAGAACCTGATTTCCCCTGCCCCCCACCAGCCATTGGGCCTCGCTGCACTACTCTTGAATCTCAACAATCAAGAGTTCATCACCACTGCACTAACTCTTGATGCTGCGACCTGTATTTCTATTCAAGAGCTGTCAGATTCACTCTCGAAAACGTCGAGAGTGAGTTATCGCTGCACTAATGGAAAACTGCTCTTGGTCCTGCGCTTCAAGAGGTGTCACAAATGGCCCATCGGACTAGCTAGCTCTTGAAGTTTCCACAGTCCCCGCCTGCAGGAGCTGTTTTCTCAAACGAGGCCGACGGGTCCCTTCATGTGGTTTGCAAATTCGAGAGTTGGCCTCCCGTCTCGGTGGACAAATCGTCGCTGCCCTGTCGTGTAGTGTCTGTCCTACAGTCGAGAATGCTCACGAGAGTCGAGAGTCCAGTGTAAGTGCAGCAACGGCAGCACTTGATGCCAATCCAAGAGTCTGACAGCGCTAGACGAACTCTTGAAATTTTTCACGTGTCTACCGTAGTGCAGCTAGGGCCCATTTAGCTATTGTATCTAGGCTAGCCCCCGAAACTTCCGGCGCTTGCACAGTCGCATCGGAGAAAAATGGCTTGTGGGGAAAGTGCTGGTGGCTTTGAATTAAAGAGAACACTGTGATTCAACCTTCTTGACATGCAGCAGAACATGGGTGCAAGGGAAAGGAATGAAGTGTTGGGTGAGTTGTTTGCTGTGACATGTGGCAGGTAAGGTACAATCGCCCAACCAGTCCATCAATAAAAGCATTAGGGGAATTCAGATACACCACTGGACTTCGAAAAAAACATCCACAAAAAACCTCTTGAAATGCAAGAGAAAAGCAACTCCCCGCACCAGCTTGCTACTGCCCTCTGGCGGTGTGTTTGCAAGTACCATGCTGACGATCCTGAGGAGTGCCCCGATGGTTGATAATGCAAAACATTGAGAGAAAAAAAAATATATATATATATATTGTCAAATAGAATATATATATATATTGTCAAATAGAACTGCCCGGTAAACCGTAGGCAGAGAGGGAGAAGAGGACAACAAACGAGGGGCTGTGACAAACTGTTTCGTCGGAGTTTCACCGATATATATATATATATATATATATATGTGGTGATGAGGCAGGCTTCATAGAGCCTCGCTCCTCTCGATCCCTTAATATATATATATAGATGTGGCGATGTGGCAGGCTTCATAGAGCCTCGCTCCTCTCGATCCCTTAATATATATATATAGNNGGGGGGGGGGGAAGGGAAGGAAAGGAGGCCAAGGGGAGGTTGTCTGTCTGACTATACACTTGTGATCAAACTTTCCTATTCACAAAGGAGTGCAATGCCTGTCTGAGTACACAATTGTGATCAAATTTTCCTATTCACAATAGCATAACAATGGCAGCGCAGCCGCAGCTGTGCTTTCTTAAACACAGAATGTAAATTTCCATATGGGACGCTGGGCCCCGTTCCCAGCACGTTGTTGCTCCCCGCGAATAGATTGGAGCCTTGTTCCCAAAAAAAAAAAAAAAAAAAAAAAAAAAAAAAAAAAAAAAAAAAAAAGGGAGGTACACTGTAAAACATGTGTTTACGACGATGAAATTGGGAAGGGAAAGCCCATTTCTTAACCCCTCTTCTCCATCTATTTCCTCTTTCTGCCCCACCTTCTGGCACATGCATAAATACAACCATATACCCCTCCTCATCTCACACACCAACGTCATGACCTGAGCCACCTCCTCCGTGCCACAGACACATTGCACTAAAACCCTGAAAGGAAGGTCTCAACACGCTTGCCGACAAACAACCAAAACCAAATAAGAACAGCTCTCATCTTCCGCCTTAAGGACCTGTAGAGCCACAAGTCAAGAAGAATACCACCATACAAACCCCCATTGCGTTATGCAAACCCATCTCCCCCCCCTCCGTCCCTTCTCTACTTTGGTTCCCCATGCTGATAGCACGGGAAGAGTCCATTCCCCACCGATACCCACACACAGCATGTGATGATGCGAGGCATCATCTGGAAGAAGCTGTACAGATGCCTTAACGACAGTATGTTCAGCCAAATGAAGACTTTTAGGTTCAACCACATGGAAAAGTTAAGTTAGCAAATATAAGAATACACACACATGCACACATGCGTGCACGCACACACACACACACACATGCGTGCACGCACACACACACACACACATGCAAGACCGACAGTGAGTAAGAGTCCAGCATTTTCATCAGGGGTATTGATTAGCTCTGCACGACGTGGCAAGTCCTTGCCATCGGTCCGATGCATCCTGGGCAGCCTGTCATGGCTCAAACCTCCTGATGAGTCAGTGAAAGTTGGACGAAACATTCTGGCATAGTCATGCTTTTTTGTGTGGAGTTGTGTATAGCAGACATGACAACACACACACACACACACACACACACACACACACACACACACACACACACACACACACATGCACAGAGAATATGTGGGGAGTCATGCCTGGTTGTACAGCTTGTTAATGACCTTTAGTTGCATGAACAAATGCAGTTCAGGTGACAGTTCGCTCGCTCGCAAATCTTCTGAATGATTCTTCTCTTCTCCAAGGAGGCGTAGCATATTCAACCCAAACCTCCCACGTGAGCCTACGCAAAAATAAAAATAAAAATAAAAATAGACTCCATTAGCAGATGGAATCAATGGTCGTTTGAAGTGCTGCCTCTGCTGTGAGATTTGACAGTCTCAAGCACAGCAGAGAAATCCGCATCACCTAGTCCGGCAGCCCGTGCCAGCTTGTATACCTCATTGGCTGCTGCGGCCACAGGCAGTGGCTGCACGACCTCCTCGCCTAGCGCGAGTGCCAGCCTCAGATCCTTCTGCTGGTGTTTCAAGGGAAACGCTGGAGTGTACTGCCCTTTGACCATCGCCGGTCCCTTCAATGTGTACATAGGCGTGTTTATGGCTCCCAAGGAGATGACTTCCAGCAGCGTGTTGGCGTCCAATCCTATCTTATCTCCTAGCGCCAGTCCTTCGGAGAACGACGCCATCATCGAACCCATCACCATGTTCACAACCAGTTTCATCGCTGCACCCTTGCCCACCTCCCCAAGGAAGAACCGCGCCTTGCCCATCACATCCAACGCCGGCGAGGCGCGTTCGTAGAGTGCTTTGTCCCCGGCTGTCATGAAGATCAAGGTTCCATCTTCCGCCGGCTTCTTGGACCCAGACACTGGCGCCTCAAGGAACTCTCCGCCCGTCGCTTTCACGGCCTCGTTTATCTTCATTGCGGTTACCCCGTCGACGGTCGATATGTCAACGTAACCCTTCCCAGGACCTAACCCCTTGACAGCACCGTGCTCACCACAGGCAACGCTTAATGCTCCGGTTGGATCTGCAAGCATCGCAAATGTTATATCGCAGGCTTCGGTCACATCCCGGGGCAGCAATCCCACCTTGGCGCCCTCCGTAGCAAGCGACGCGCATTTGCTAGCAGTTCGATTCCAAACCGTGACATCGTACCCGGCCTTGACCAGGTTCCGAGCCATCGCCTCCCCCATGATGCCAAGCCCGAGGAATCCGACAGTCGGGAATGTGGCAGAAGAGTCCACGCCAGCAGCGCCATCTGCGCTGGCAGCCTGAGCCATGATGAAGCGGTACTGACTTGTTCTTCCTGCTCGCCTGCGGCTTCGAGCTAACTCTGAAGGCACCCCAGTTACGACACTAGGTTTGCACACGAGGCCCTCCTGAATGCCACCAATGGGATCGCTTTGGGACCGCACACTGCTGGACACTGAGACCTTCCTCCCACCCTGTTCCCTCTGGAGGAGTGCCGCAAATCGGTTTCGCTTCCCAGCAACTGACGCCACGCAAGACGACAAGCTCAGACCGACACGGGCACTGCTGCACCAGGTCTTTCCAATGCAGCTCGAAGCCATGTCACTCTGCAAATATGGGAATTAAACCTCCAGTTCACACACACCACCCCACGTTGCCAGAGCTATCTCCTTCCAAGGCTGATGAGCCTGCAACTGCCCCTTTTCAACGTGCCCCCCCCCCCTGCCGCTTTCCCTACCAGCCCAGGCGAAATGCTCTTTTCCTGCTTAGTCCACCGGTAAGAGCACTAACTACTTAGCTTCGTGTGAACTGGTGGTTTAAACTACAGTCACACTGGTCAGTGCTCAGGAGCAGAGACACTTCCTGCCTCGGGACAGATCAGTAAAAGCTCAGCTTCAGCTGCTTCGTCCAACAGAGCGAGCTGCTTCCCGTTGCCAGCATAAAAAACCATTACAAACACACACAGAAAACAGAGGGCGCATTACCATCGGCCCATCATACACCACCGGTACCAGAAGAATGCCAAATTTAGCCATATTCTGGAACAACCTTCAAAACAAGCAAACAAACAAACAAACAAACAAACAAAAAGAGAGAGGAGAGAAGAGAGAAGGGGACCACAAATAATCCGATGTGTCTCATTCGAGAGCACGGTCCTGAATACTGATGAACCGCGCTGCGCCCTGACTGAGGGGAGAAAAGGAAACGGAACAAGCAAAGGGAAAAAGAAACCGTGATGGAAGGATTCTGAGACGCATGCTCCGCGAGTGTAGTGTAGGAGAGGCCCATAGGTGAGAGGATAAATCAGACTAGGATTCCTCTGAACATATCTGACGGCGATTATGGCCGGACCAGACGGATGGATCGATGGATGGGATGGATGGGTGGGTGGGTGCGTGCGTGGGTGGATGGATGGATGGATGGATGGATGGATGCATGGATGGATGGATGGGTGGGTGGATGAATGGATGGGTGGGTGGGTGGGTGGGTGAATGGATGGATGGGTGGGTGGATGGATGGATGGCGGGAAGAGCTCTTCGCACCAGCATTCCCAGCGTTAAGGAATAGTCCCTGGTTGCTACAGCTTTGCGGTTTAGAGCATACTCTACTACGCTTGCCAGCGTTTTGAGGAATAGAGTGGGGGAACTACAGTTCTGCGGTTTAGAGCTCATTGACTGAATTTGGCCGTAAATGGGAGCAAGTTCAGCGGGGTACGCGGGTGAATATACCCTCATTCTGTCAAGTCAATTCTGCTACTACCGTAGGTTTCGAACCCACTCACTCACATACACACACTCCCTCTCACACACACACACACACACACACACACACACACAC